ATTTGTACACCACAATCAAACCAACCTTCATATAATTTTCCCTGCAGCAGCATTTATCCTGATATGACACATCTGAAGGTTGTGATGTTCTCCAGTGAATTAAATAAAGGACTGATGATGGTGACAAGTTCTATTCCCCTTTTTTTGTGCCACCTCAGAGGAAGACAGACAACAGGAAAAAAAAGTTACTCATTTTCTATCACTAGTGGAGGCAATATCTTATAAATGTAACGTTACTTATGATTAGAATCATACTTAAGATATTAATCCCAATGTGAGGTCTAGAAACGGTTAAAACTGAATAACATCTTACTGTAGTCTCTGTGTTGGGTGCCTGTTTTCCCTGAAAAACGTGTGCTTGATCTAAAAATGTAAACCAATATCTTATCATTAGCAGTTATCAGTATTTGAAGAGGTGAAATAAAAATAACTCCGAAACTGTCATCGACACAAACATAACAAATATAAAACATCTCAACTTTCCTACAGATTCCAGTGTTTCCGAGTGTAAATTGCAGTTTTCTCATTCACTGTACTTATTCCGATGTTTCTTTACTTCTCACGAGTTTGAGTTTAAAACTAGATGACATTAATACAAACACACAGCTCATTCGGACGCTGCATTGAAATACATAACTAACGTTACTAATCGCGATTAACCTCTCACTTTGATTTCCTCTCACTCACATAAATTATGGACACAAAACATAACTTTACGTTGGTTTGACTGAAAAAACGTTTTGTTACCTGATATTGCCATATGTTTGCAGGACCTCACACGCAGTCTCTGTGTTCACACTCCAGCTTCTGTTCTCCGTTGACATGTCACAGCTCATATTAGTTTAAAATAAGAATTTAACAGGCACATAATCAGGAACTGAGTGACCGAGTTATCTCGCGGATCAGTAGCAAACACACCACCAAACTGACGTATATTTTCAAACCTGACTAGTAAGAAGGCGCGCACTTTTGTCATTGGCCAGTTTCGTGGATGACAGTCAGATTAGCCAATCA